TTCCATCAGAATAAATATTTTTCTCATGTTATAAGGAGGTGGACAGAGGCAAGCATTTAGCAGCTTTAAAATGCACTTTATTTTAACTTTTATTTCATTATACTTACAGTGAGCTATACTCACTCTATGTCCACTGAATACTGTTAAAACTGGAGAAAAGAATTCTACTGTCAATTTACAGGCATCTTCAGGATGGAAAGAGAAACCTCACTGGTCACAGTCTGTTGTTACCTGTGGCATAGGGTTTTTATAGTATTGTTCTGCTTTGTGGGGAAACATCATGCATGGTTCTCACAATCAGTTTAAGCCAAGGTTCAGTGCTAACTCTTATGTTTGTAGGGAGTTACACTTTGCATTGATGTAGGTGATTTTTCCCCTACTATTCTCTATTCTGATGCTCACTGATTTTCTCTAGAGGTTGCAGACTTGGCTGCACAGTGTATGTTGAATGAAGACAGTAAGTAGCCTTCTCCTCTCCAGTTTTGCTAATGCTGGCATTGCCTGCCTTCCCTTTCACAGAGCATCTTCTGTTGCCCTGTGTCCCAGCCATGCTTCCATACCATTGCAGAATTCTTTTATTTCACATTTAAAAAAATATTTTATTATTTCACTTAACTACCAGGTTTTTGCTCTAGTCACCTCAAACTTTTTTTTTTTTCTGTTATATTCTCCACTCTTGTATTTATTTTCAGAGGAAAAAAATTAGCACAAAGCACACGTAAAATGTTACTTGGTCTGAATGACAGTCCTGCTTGCCCGTTGCAACCTGATATGTGAACATGAGGAGCTCTCCCTTTTAGACAGAATAATTTTCCAATGAATATGTAACGAACTGAGAAAACACAGTGCTGTGATTTTCCCCACTGATTATTTAGAGGTAATAGCCACTGTTTGAGGTCTTTGTGGCTGGGATGGAATACAAATACTTGAGAAGACTTTCCAAAGCATTGTTTGTGTTTTTTAACACACACAGTAGAAGAGCTATTTTCCATATTTTATTTTCTTCCATGTACTTTTGTATGCTAGATAGTATCTAATTTGAACAAAACAGTATATTGTGCACTAGTTACTTGGAATATAGTTGTCCTAGTCGCAAATAATACCAGAACTAAAACGAAGCAGCAGTGACTGCAGAAAAAGTAAACCCAGTTGTAAACCAGGTGAATACTGGTGTGGTAACTTATTTATATTTATATCCCCACCATGCTTGTGTTTTAACAACTCACTGCTTGTTCTAAGAATTTTCAGTGCTTGACATGTCTGAATGAAATTTTAAATATCACATCCCACTTCACCAGATTCTGGTTTTGGCTGAGACCATTCACATCAAGATGAATTTTGGGCAAACCAGCATAATAAAAGGAAGCCTTACTCTGCTGAAGGAAAAAGTATATATTATTCATATAAACATATAAAAGCCTAAGTAGAAAAATAAGCACTGATGCAATATTCATGGATATGCTCACAGAAGAGAAAAGGATCATTTACATCCTAAATTCAGGCGTCGGTGCTATGATATTGTGACGGTTCATCACTGAAGACACCCACGGGAGAATAACATTAGCTTTCCCACTCCTTCGGTCAGTAACAGCAGTGTGTGGGCTGCTGATGGAGAAGTTCTAAGCTGCAAAAGAGCAGCAGTTGTGCAAACACCAGAAGAGAGCAACTTTTAAGCATTCTGTCCTGAATGATCCAGAGGATGCCAGGAGGCTCTGAAGACATCCCTTCACTTGCTTCCCACAGAATCTATCATTAATTGTAATAAAAAGGGGTCGGTGTCTCTATGTTCTAACAGCCCTCTCATCTCCTCACCTGCCAGTCCAGCCTCCACTCTTGACCACTCCATCCCTTCCCCAACAGCACACTGCACATGGGCACACATCCCTTCTTCATCAGCCTCCAGGGAAATAACTCACCTCCTGTGGCTGCTGGGCCAGCTACCTTCCAGTCTACCTGACCATATTTGCTCCTCCAAGAGCCACAGCCAAAGAGGAGAAGGTGCAGGCCACCTCTAGGTGTCAGCCTCCCCGCACCCAAACACACTCACGACTGCACTCACCAAGGCACTGAGCAGTGGGGTATGTACTGTCACATAAAAATCACCTCCAGCATTCTACATGTTCGATAGTGTAAATGTTGCATAATCTGCTGGGGAAGCTGTGTCTTCTAGAAATAGCTGACTAAGAGCCTTTCCAGATACGCAGACAAAGACGTATGTGGACTTGGTTCTGGTATTCAGAAGCAAAATACATTTTAAGAAGCTGAACAAACTCCCAGAAACGTTTTAATTTATGGACAGTTGTTGATCAACAATTTGTCAGCCTCTGCACCAGCCAATGCTATTCCTATTAAAAATAAAAAGGCTCAGAGGGACAGATGCTGATGTGGTGCTTTGTGAAAATTCAGTTCCACCATATGTTTGCATTTAGATGTCCTCCCCAAAGCAGCACCTAGTATGCAGAGCAGGGAGAGCTTGAGAGGCAGGCATCACCCGGCTTTTCTGCCCCATCTTTTGGAGGTACTGTTACAAACTTTCTAGCTGGCTAGGCACAGCAGCTGGCTCACTCCCTGGTTTGGCCCACGGTCCACTGATTTATTTTTGAAGACATACAATTTGGTCTGTATCATACCAGGCATTTCATGGCTATGGATCACACTTAAGGAATCAAAACAGGGAGTTTGGATAGTTAGAAAATATTGCTCAGGAACAACTGTCAAGCCATCTGGCCAAAGGAGTCTCAATGCTAAGTTTGACAAGGAGTCTCCATATCCTCACTAGCCTGCCAAGAGCTTCTTCCTCTGGCAGAAACCAAAATCAGGGTAGCAAATATTATTCAATGGGTGCCCCCAAGCTGTTGCTATGAGCTGGAAAGGGCCACCAGGCTTGATCCTACTCCATACTGACAGAAAAAGGGCTATAAACAGACTGTTTTGTGCACAGCATGCTGTTTGCCATGTGCAGACCCATGCTGCAAGGTCCACCGCTCCCATGTGTAATGAGGATGGCCCAAGGTTGCCTAGTGCAAAGTTGTTGTGGGGCAGAAAGGTGGAGAAGGATTTTAGACTGTCCACATACTGGTCATTAGAGGATGTCTGAGGCAAAATGTATTGCTGCATTATAATTTTTTTGTCTATGATGCTTCTGTGTGTCAAAATGTGTGCAAATTTGTTCATAGCACAGGATATAGTAAATAAATAAGAAATATATATAATAATAGCTGCTTATTTCAGAGGAAGAGAAGATAAAATATTCCTTAAAGTTTTCTCCTTCACATCCCCAGATCTTTGCATCAGTGAGCTTGAAATAAACTTAAACCACCATTTCTTAGAAGCAGACTTGGTCTGATAAAGTGTAACCATGTTAAACATGACAAAAAGAACTGCAGAATGGGATGTTATCACAACTGCTTTGACTTTTTCACAATGGCCTATTAGTGTTCTTTTACAGTAGAAACCAAAGTGCTCAGTTCCTTCACCTTATTTTTCCCTAGTAATAAGCTGAAATGCCTGGTTTATTTGATCAAACGTCATGTTTAGTTTCCTCTTTATATCTCAGTTCTCCATTTTAACACATCTGATCAGAACTTCATCTTTCCAAATGACAAAATTTGGTTTAGGAGTATTAAAGGCTGAGTTCCTATCTGCAGTGGTGGAAATTAAGATCCTAGATCCATAGTTTTTATTTTCTTTGTTTGAGCAATGGAAAAATTTCTTCCCTGGTCCTTAAGTACGAACTCCCTCTATAAATTCCTTCACCTCAATTCCTCTCAACTATTACATATGCTATGTTAGGTACCAGGTATTACAAACTAGCTATGGGATCCCCATGCTCTTGTGCTTTATTTTTAGGATCTTGTGGAATGAGAGCAACTATCAAAATGTATTTCCTTGTTCCTCCCATTCCTTATTTTTTTAGTGATATTGCTACGTATTTTATGACAGCTCTGCCTTTCAGTATCTTTTCCTCATGGAAGAATCAGTCCCTCTCCCTCAGCTCTGTTTGGGGCTCATAAAGCCATTGATAAAATCTCTGCCATTGAAATCCTGTGGTTCAAGCTGAATCACGGTTACTGCTCAACTCTGAGAGTCCTCACAGACAAGGCTCCGCTTGGTCTCCTTTTCATTCTGATTTCCCCATCATATCTGTGTGGCATCTGTTTTTTCATTTATCATCTGTGCTGGGGTAGAAGAGTTCAGTTGCAAGGCTGCACACTGTGTTAGTTATCGGAGCAGCCTGCAGCCATCAAGCAAGAAATTATATGGGTTTCTAACAGAGGAGAGACAGATGTCAGTGTCCATTCTCCTGTGGGAAGAATAATTAGTTTTATAAAAGAGCACTGGCCCAGTTTTTGAAAGGTAGAATGAGTGGCAAGGTTTGGTGCCCAAGTATTCCTAAGAAGCTGCACACCAGGGTCGGTTTCATTACTAATAACTTCTTTCTCCTTTTTGTAAAGCCTGTAGACATTGGACTGTAACTCGACCATTGTGGAAAGCTGGAATTAAGAAGAAAAATCATCTAAAGGTGATAAGGGAAACACTGTATAAGACTGGTAAATCCACTCAGTTGGAGTATATATTTCTCCTTTCTAAGTATCCTATGTGCTAGGGATTCCCTAACAATGGGAATGTCCTATGCTGACAAAACATTACCAGCCCTTGTGCCTTCTGCCAGGATTTCCAGCATCAAAACAAGCACAAATCAATGGAAAATGAAAAATTATTTTTGGGGGGTAGTTGTTGGAAAGAAGAAGAAACAAATTAGGAAAAATAATTGCAGTACTGCAGTTAATCTCAGCCTAAACTTCTGGACCTTTGCTCATATGAAAAGGAAGGAAAGAAGGGAATACCCATGAGATAGACATTAACATATCAAAATCCTACTACTCAGATGTCTGTATGGTGAAGTCTGCCATTCATTGACAGAAGAAACATATGTGAAATCATGCAACATGAGTATAGCAAAGCAGAATAAATTCTGAACATGTTTGGCACCACCTTACCTTTCCTGGAGCCCCACAGGTTTCATTCTGAAAGGAGACGGACTGGCACACAGGGGAGGTTTGAGCTCAGGAACGCATTGGCCTTGAGGGTCCACTACAACATTGACAACCTTTGGAGCCTGTTCAGGCTGGACCATGCTGTTGGTGGTCTTATACTCGGACTGGGATGTCTGCAGGGGAAGGGGAGAGAGGTGGATCTCCTGCTTCTTTTCCTTCTCTTGTCTCAGTGACAACTGGATCTTCTCCTTTAATCTGTACAGAACCTACAGAAAAAAAAGAGGTCAGCCCAATCTCAGTTCCCTGGTAAAAAAGGCAAGGAAAGTATTGCAAATGCTGGTTAAGATTTCTATATGTGGCTTTCATTCCTAGAAGGTAAGCCACAAGTTGTGCTACACAGTGTTTCCCACAACAGGATAAATATTTCCATTACATAAACCACAGTATGTACGTGTGGGTGGTAGGGATTTTAACAGTTCACATTGTGAGCCAGTAATTATTTGTAATACCAGCAGTTGTATTAAAGGGGCAAATAACATAGAATGTAAAATAGTTACAAAAGACTTAGTGAAGAAGGACATACTGATAAATAGAGTAATTGTAGAAAAATTTGTAAGAATTTTAACATAAGAGAAACAATGGCACAAAATAAAATAGATGTTCATGATACATCCAGGTACATGTCTCTAATTATAGCAGCCTGAATTTGTTTTAGAGAAGAATTTCTTAAAAGTTTGTAATCATTTTGCATGGAGCAGATGGTTGAACAGAGTAACTTTGCTAGGCCACTTTTGTAATGGTAGGCTGCTACTACTCTGAAATACCCCTCAGAAAAAGGATATTCCTCAGTATCCTCAGAGAAACATAACCTGTTCTGGAATCTATTTGCAGCCTATGAAGCCATTTAAGCATCAGTTCAGAAACGTGTGGTTTACAATTACCAAGATACTGACATTTGAACATACTGTAATACCAGGATTCTCTGACTACCTATTACTTGTGAACTTGAATGCCAGATATCTGCAGCAAAAGCTTTTCAGAAGTTGTACTGATCCTCTTCCACTGAACTCCATGCTGATGCTCTACACTGGGTGGTGAGGGCTGGTGGGTAGTGTGAGCTCAGTAATATCACTCCAGAGGAACCTGTTGTATGCCTATTTAACACATCTTATGTCTCCTGAGGGAAATGCAAAAAATAATTTCTAAACTGTAGTTGTGCCATTTTCAAAAAGTTCTTTACAACCTGTAAAACTGATGAGAATTACTATTGTAAGTATTGTGTGTGGAGGTGGGTGAAAGGCACTTACACAGCTTTTTTAAGATGTCTGCAGATACCTTTTACCTTCTACTCTACTTATGTGCTGTCATAAAGCATTTGAATTGAATCCTGGTCTACAAAGCCATAAAGACAAAGGCTAGACCAAAGCATTTTTCTGATGCAAGTCAGAGGCCCTTTGACAGCTGTTGCCCTTCTAGCACCGCATAAAGATCTATCATTCCATAGCTTTCCAGTGAAGACTGGATACATCTGATGGATTTGTTTTTTTCAGGGATTAGCATTAGAGATTTAGCTGGGAGCTGACCTAATGTCATTAGCAATACACCCATTAAACAAGACTTAGCTACGTAAACCATCTGTTCATTCATAAGAGTTTAGAATTAAATTGCATGGATAAGCTGCTCTTTGCCATTATTTTGCAGAAAAAACTGCCCTGTTGTGAAGCAAGGACACAGGTATCATTAAGATAAAACAGAGGCTTGAAATACTTTAACCCTCTTTTCCCCCATTGATTGCTTTGGTCTCGTTTGTTTCTGACAACCCACAGGTATGCAGCTCAGACATTCACAGTCGTGGCAATGTTAACCATACCTTCCTCTTACTGATACATTTTGACATAGTTTAGACCCTTGGATTTTGATGAAATTACTTTTTTAAGTTCCAAAAATGTGGACTAGTATTATTTCCCATTCTTTTTAATACTCTATTATTAACCTAGTAAAGAAGATAGCCTGCCATTCGCAGAAGTTGAAGGAAAGCTAAAGAACCACATTTGATCTAAGAGCCAATGCACTTTCCTCAGAAAGTGTGGTCAGGGCCATCACAAATTCCAAGTGAAAGTCAAACAAACAGAAATGGCCAAAAAGACAGTGGCCAATCCAATCACCAACTTCTGCAAAGGGAACAACTTAGTTGTACCCATATTTCAAACCAGTTTAAATGCATCATGGATGGAAATAGATATGAAGCCTTTAAATTAGGAAAACTGATGTTTTATTGATACCTCAGAAGATTAATTGTGGGGATAATCAAGAGGCACAGAGCAACAGAGCAACATAAAGTACTACTTTCCAGGACACACAAGGTGGGTCATCTGTGATTTTTTTTATCTATTAAGTCTAAGGTTCAAATCCACAGTCCAAAAGGAAAATAACTCCTCTTTCTGCTTCTTCTTTGACTCAGTTTATATGGAAGAATGACAGGGTGCTGACAGCATGGCATTCACTCCTTATATCTCTGCTCAGATTTGTTTAAAGGAAAGCTGACATGTTATGCACTAACTTGGACACTACCTCCTACCCCATTCAAAATATAAGTGGAAACTGCTTTTATTCATCTTCAGAGATCGACAGGAAATCCCAATGAGATAACTATGTCACCAGAAGGAAGACCTTGGCAATGGTTATGTTGAGCAGTGATATGCAAACTCATCTTTTGAAAGATATTTAGGGCACCCAGGACTGTACAGGAAAATGTCACAGAAACCATGGAAATTAACACAGTTCGCTCTAATTAAAAGTGTTGTCTCTAATCAACATCTATGTGAGGCTGTGTGCCTATGTCTGCATGAGCAGAGTTATTGTGCATGTGTATACATGGGAAGAAAACTGATCAATAAAATTCCCCTTAAACCCTGGGGAAGGGATGAAAGAACAAAAATGTGACAGATGTTAGTTGTGGTGTTTGGTGCATTACTGGGAGGCATTTGGATATCATGACTTGAATGCACTATAAAAAGTTCCACAGCAGCAGAATAAAAGACAATCTAGGACTAGTTTCTAAACAAACTTCCTAATTTCAAGTTGGCATAAACACTTTTGCAGTATGATTAAAAAAATGTACCTTTAATTTTACTTTAAATCTTTGAACTGTTAAAAGTTAACAGTGGGCTGATACTAGATAGTTGTATATATTCTATAATCAAATTGCTTTCAGAAGTACTGCAACCATATTATGAATCTTGTAAAACCTGTAAATTTAAGAACAAGCAATAGGCCATGTGAAAATTTGATGCTGAAATGCATTTTTTTGTTATTCAATATTCTTCTTCTTAAAGAAATTCCAAAATACAATTATGAACCTGAAAAAATATTTATCACTTACGTAATTATTTCCCCAAAAGATCAAATAACTGATAATAATTCATAAAACGGTGGAGACAGTATTAAAAATTCAGATCCTCACAATTTTTTGATAAGGCAAAGTTCAGAATGGTTTGGGTTGGAAGATACCATTGAAGATCACCTAGTCCAACCTCCCTGCTATGGGCAGGGACAGCTTTCATAGGTCAGGTTGCTCAAAGTTCTTGTCTTTCATTATTTAAAATGGGAAAAAAAATCCTACTTTTTGATTTTATTTTTTTAGTGGGGAAAAAAACCCATTTAGGAAACACTCTTAACACACTAGCTACAAATATTTCATAATCTGAAAGTGATACTTCCAGACTACGCAACAGATAATAACACATACATATATATTTTAAAAAAGGATATGCAAACATACTGGTTTATTAAAACAGGCAAAATTATTAAAAATACAATAGCAAATAAGCTAACCCATTGTTAAATACAGCTATTTAATAACTTTGGTGATTGTTCAGTTATTCCTCTATGTAAAATAAAAAATAGAGAGACCTGTTTTACACATAGGAGCAGTAAAAATATTTAGCACTTTGCTTGGCATACATTATAAATGAGGTACAACATTCTCAGTGGAAGGGAGTCTGTGGTCAGGCCCATTGATGAGGACAGCAATGAGCTGTCTGTTGGCTTCCACATATGAACCAGCAATGTGCGCTTGCAGCCCAGAAGGCCAATAACCGTATCCTGGGCTGCATCAAGAGCAGCGTGTCCAGCAGGTCGAGGGAGGTGATTCTCCCCCTGTACTCTGCTCTCATAAGGCCCCACTTGGAGTACTGTGTCCAGTTCTGGAGCCCCCATCACGAGAGAGACACAGACCAGTTAGAACAAGTCCAGAGGAGGCCACGAGGATGATCCGAGGGCTGGAGCACCTCTCCTATGAGGACAGGCTGAAAGAGTTGGGGCTGTTCAGCCTGGAGAAGAGAAGGCTCTGGGGAGATCTTATAGCGGCCTCCCAGTGCCTGAAGGGGCTACAGGAAGGCTGGGGAGGGACTTTTTACAAAGGCAGGTAGTAACAGAACAAGGGGAAATGGGTTTAAACTGAAAGAGGGCAGGTTCAGATTAGACATTAGGAAGAAATTCTTCACTGTGAGGGTGGTCAGACTCTGGAACAGGTTGCCCAGAGAAGTTGTGGATGCCCCCTCCCTGGAAGTGTTCAAGGCCAGGCTGGATGAGGCTTTGTGCAACCTGCTCTAGTGGAAGGTGTCCCTGCTGATGGCAGGGGGGTTGGAACTAGATGATCTTTGAGGTCCCTTCCAACACAAACCGTTCTATGATTCATTCTATGACGAATCCTTCCCAAGATGCAAGTGGTTCCCATACTGTGACAACAAGGACTAGTTGACTAAATACATAAAAAGACCTCAGAGGTAAAATTTACAAGTCCAAATTTAGTTCACGTGCTGCTGTATGTCACCGTTTAGCAATACTGCACTGCAGATTTTTCTGTATAGAGGCCAGCTATTTGCTAAATTCTAGCCAAGCATTAAGAAGCCTAAAACCTGTTAATGCACAGTGCACTCAGCACAGGAAAGCATCATGATCTGTAAAACCCAGTTAAAAGACAAGGCTGCACATTTTACAATTTCTGTAGAAATGACACAGAACAAAGCACCAACACTGACAATTCAGCTGCCTTACACTGACACTGTTGATCATCATAATCACCATTTGAAGCACTTCCTACTCCATATTTTAAAGGACAGTTCCAAGTCATCTACAGATGAAAGCTAAGCTTTCTAGTTTTGGATCCTCTAAACTACAAATAATCACTTAGGGACAAACAGGTGCCTACTCTTTAACTTGAAAAAAAGGTTTGATGGTCTCATATGGTGGCTACAGCCAAAGCCACTTGGGATCAGCTTAATGCCTTATGCTAAAGCTGAATGGTCTGCTAGACTGCAATGCCTGCATTTGAAATACTGAATTCTTACTTTTCACAGATCTGTCACTCTGACACATGTAAAGTGGGGTGAAAAACAATGTGCACTGTTTGTTAGCCTTACAGACTGCACATACTCCATGCACCAGCAGGTCCTGGCACAATCTGAGACAGCGTCCTTTTACATGGTCTCAAGACTAGCACACGTAAAGGTGCAGGTTGGATCTGGGAAGGGACAGAAAGGGGAATGCCTGCAGAAAAGACCACAGCATCAGAGTAAATGCATCTGGAAGGGAGTTCCAGGAGTCTACTAGTGTTTTCCTCTGCCCAAACTCCAGATCAGCTATACCCAAACTATTCCTGACAGATGCTTGCCTAAAACGTTAATGGGTGAAAACTCCCGAGCTTCCCCAAGCAATGCACTCCAGGGTCTAGTGACCCATGCAATAACAAAGCTCTTTCTAATGAGTCAGCCAAAGCACCCTTTAAAAAAATTTGGTTTCTTTCCCATCCCCAGGGAAAAAAAGTATTATAATCTTCCTTACCACAGCTTTGAAATCTTTCCATGTTTGAGAACTACCATGTTTCTCCTTGTTCTTCTTTTCTCTGTCATAAAGAAACCAGATTACTTCATGTCCTCTTTATCTCTGGCCACTCTTGTATCTCCTCCTTCCTATAACTGGCTGAGATTTTTCACAAGTGTGGTACCCAAAAGTGACTATATAGCATGAGTATGACACAATACTATAACCAAATTATTACCAGAGCCAAGTCAAATGCAGTTCTTAGAGACTGCATCCTCATTTATACATCCCAGGGCAAGAACTGTAACTTTTGCAATAACATGGTATTACTCATTACTTCAGTGTGTGCTCTGCTGTAGTGCTGGAATCTTTCCTACAGAACTTTTGCTTTGCTATGTATTTCCTACATTGCATTGATGAACATGATTAGGGTTCTTGTCCCTGCTTAGCAGCATTCTTGTTACTTTCCACCTTTTCTCCAGCATCTTAAAACTATTGTAAGTTCTGCCTCCACAATGGTTTACAATACCTAATACTATCTATGCATTCCAAACAATTAATGAAAATATTGTGCAGTACCAGGACAAGAACAGGCAGCATTTTCCGTACCCTTCCAGTTAAACAGTCAGTAATGACCAAAATATTTGCTTCTCCAAAATAAAAAGTTTGAGTACAAGTTAGTACTTCTAGAGTTATGCTGCCATTTTCAAGTGATACAGCATGGAGAAATGGAGATGACTGGGATGTAGAAGTTACATAAAGCAACCATTTTTGTTAAAAAATAAGTGCTTTTCAAATCTTAGGGAGACTTTAAATGCTTAAATAAGATTTTGTTATAAATTTGTTTGTTTATGAAAATCTTCAGTTTAAACATTCTTTCCATCTCAAGGTTGCAAGTGGGCAATTGGTCTAGGTTAAAGAAAATTAAATGTGTTTGAAAGCAAATTATCTTCTCCAAGATACTGTGTGTTCAAAACTGCTGAGAATTGTCATAGAATTCACTAACCCTTATATTTAAGCACCACAGAAGAAATATACAAGTCAGGGAAGGAAAACATGAGATACAACATTGGAAAAAAAGCAAAAATTACTCTATGAAAGTCAGCGATGGGGTAGTGTTGTTCATCTTCTCTGTGACCCTTGCACACCTCGTATTCAGTGCATTAGAATGAATGCAATTAGAATGTATGCCTAATGCCTGGAAACCTGACCACAGAACTCACACAATGTGAATGGTAAAGTTAAAAAATATGATTACTCCTTCATGTACTTACTAGTCATTTCAGTTTAAAATTTGTATATTCAGTACATGAATACCAACACAGACTCTGATAACTGTGCATTGACAGTATTGTATCAATGTGGTGTTGTTTTTACCATCCAATAAAACTGAAATACAGGCAGCTAATACAACTTCAGGGACCCTGGGACCTTAATAAGAAGGTTGAGAAGTCGTCATTCATGTCACTACACAGTTACTCTGCAGATTTAAGAGCCCATTATTTATTTCCTCAGCTTCCTTCTAGTTACATTCTTCAACTGGACTCAAAATATATCAAGAAATGTGGTTCTTCAAACTTCAACTTCACAGCATTGTGAGAATGACCAACTCTTATCTTGTAGCTGAGGTTTTAAAAGCTTTGAGAAAACACCTCTCATGTAAAGAATGTGTGACTCTATGCTTCAGATTGAGAAAAGCATGAAGTATAGTAAAAAAAAAAAAAAAAGGTAAAAAGGAAACTTACCATTAAACAAGTTACTAGAATGACAAAGATGCTGAGGAATATGACAACCGCATAAAATCCCTCTTTGCTCCAGATCTTGTCTGCTTCACGCTGGCCTTGCAAAACATTTTTCTTTTTTAAGCAATAAAACAGAAAGAGGAAGAGAAAAAAGGTTACACAGTACTGTGCACAGATTAAATAGTTCCCGTCAGGCATTAATCACCATCCTCAGCTTTGTCACAGTTCACATTCCACAGTATATGGCACTCACTTTGCTGCTATCTGCATACCCACCTCAGCCACGTGCCCCGCCTGCACCCTGAGTGTCTGAGTGTGCGTGTCCAACCCAGGGGTCCTAACGCTACAGGAGATGATCTGAGACCTTCTCCGTGGCTGCTGAGATAATCCTCCACCAGGAGTCATGGGCTGGTTGAAGGTAAGCAAACAAGGGCTGCGGTCTTTCTGGGAAACTACCTGCCTCATCAGGCCAAAGGGCAGCTCCCGCATGGGCTGCAGGATCCACTCGCTCTGCCCCCTTCTCCCCAGTGCTTATCTACCTCCAGCCCCAGCACCCACGCGACAGCCTCGGGACTGTTTCCACTTGATGCAGGAGCAAAGAGCAGGTGACTTGCCAGTTTGTCTTCATGAGCCGGGAAGCCCTGACACTGTCACCACTAGAGTACACACACACATACATGTGCATACATAAAAAATTCTAATTATGCTGAAAGTAATCTCATTATCTGACTATCTATAATTCTGATTATGCTCAAAGTAATCTCATTATCTTTG